GCTGGGCAGGTGAGTCTTAGCTCTCTTCTCCCTGTGATGTGGTAACTTAACATTTTAGGGTTGGTTTTTTGCATAGAAAACCGATTAACCATCACAGTCAGTGAGGTTTTTTTTTATACTTGAGTCATCTTGTAAAAATTACACATCTTAATGGAGACTTCAGCTCATTGAGGGACTCCTATGTCCCTCTTTCAGGTGTTTCTTTGGGTCACTGAGGTGGAACATGATGGCACAAATTCCATGTCTTCTCCCAGAAGGGAGGGAACACGTGAGGATGGAGAAATATTACTGAAATTTGTTTTGTTGGTGAAACAGCTGCAGTGGAATTTTATGTGTCCAGTGTAGTCAGCTGTAGTGGAGTGCTTATAAATGAGCCTGTGTGGCTGCTTCACAGTCTGCTTATGTTAAATACAGGACACGGGAGTGTTGGACCGGCAGACACTGGGAGGTGGAGATATGTTTATATTAAGCCAACCGTATCCTGGGCTGTGTGAGAAGTGTGGCCAGCAGGTCGAGGGAGGGGATTATCCCCTCTACTCTGCTGTTGTGAGACCCCACCTGGAGTGCTGCATCCAGCTGTGGAGCCCTCAACATCAGGAGGATATAGACCGGTTGGAGCGAGTCCAGAGGAGGCCACAAAGATGCTCCGAGGGCTGGCGCCCCTCTGCTATGGGGACAGGCTGGGAGAGTTGGGCTTGTTCAGCCTGGAGAAGAGGAGGCTCGGGGGAGACCTTATAGCACCTTCCAGTGCCTGAAGGGGCTACAAGGAAGCTGGGGGGGACTTTTTGCAAGGGCCTGTAGTGACAGAACAAGGGGTAACGGGTTTAAATTGAAAGCGGGGAGGTTTAGATTGGGTATCAGGAAGAAGTTCTTCCCAGAGAGGGTGGTGAGGCACTGGGACAGGTTGCCCAGAGAAGCTGTGGATGCCCCATCCCTGGAAGTGTCCAAGGCCAGGCTGGATGAGGCTTGGAGCAACCTGGTCTAGTGGAGGGTGTCCCTGCCCATGGCAGGGGGGTTGGAACTGGATGGGCTTTAAGGGCCCTTCCAACCCCAACAGTTCTGTGATTCTATGATATGATGATTACATTCAAGATTAAGTGATTCCTCAATGAGTAAGAGAGAGGATAGGAAGGAAACACCTATGTGTGACAGTACAAAAAGCGTAACACACTGGGCTAGGGAAGACAGCAATAACAGGTCTTTGCATATGGTTCAGGCATGTAATAACAGGCACGGTGCATGGATGAAGAAATTAGATTTTGTGAGGGAAATATGAAACAATAGCTCTAAGTGTTTGATATCTAGTATGTGTTAGGAGTACCTTTTCCGAAGTGTTCCCTCTATAGTATTGCACTACATCTGTGGTATGAATAGGTAATACTGCTGTCCATTTGCAGACACCATGTCCCTCTACAAGGATAGGTATTCTTGTTGCGCTGGTTGGTTGGTTTTTAAAAGTATCTGCTGAATTCTTCTGGTGAATTGTAGTCACGGTTCACCACATTAATGAAATTTTGCATGGTCTTTTAAGCAATAGACTTGCTCTACCATATAGAATCATAGAATCACAGACTGGTTTGGGTCGGAAGGAACCTTAAAGATCATCTAGTTCCAATCCCCCTGCCATGGGCAGGGACACCTTTATATAAACTGGCTTTCTTTACTGAGGTGGTTGTGGTACTGTGGTACTGTATTACATAAAACCTACAACACTGCACTTCTGCTTATTACCTTTGTCTAACACATCAACAGTGTGCCATGGCTGCAGACCTCATCCCCGCATGCCTGGGCTCAACAGCAAGTTGCTGGTAGACTTCAAAGCACCATGTAAAACTAAATGTTTGTTTATTTTTAAAACAACCATGTTTATTTTAAAATAAATTTTATTTACTAAATACCAGACAAATTATTCTTCATTCACAGCTTTATCTAGCTTTCCATGTGATTTGCAATTGGGCTAGAGATTAACCTACCTGAATTCTCTTAACACTACCCTTGTAGGGGAAACGTGTTTTTGCACTGCAGGGGTAAAGTCTGTATATTCTACGGATTTCCTTTTGACATCACATAGGCTGTGTGCATTATCACTGTCTGTTCATTTTCGCTATTGTGACTAGCAGCAGCGTCAGTGTCCCACTTGATGTCAGGGTCTAGTACTGAATGAAGAAAAAGAACCATTCTCCCAGGCGTATGTTGACAAGTGAAATTAATGTGCCATTAGTTCTAAGCCTTGACAAAAGCTTGAGAAGGGATTTGCTGCAAGAAAAAATGGATGAAATAAAATTATTTGTAAGAAAATAGTCGTTCACGTTCAGTTCAGCATTGTCAAATTTGAAATAAATAAAGCAAACTCCCTGAAAGCGATAAATTTTGATTGAATGACTATGCAGTGAGTTGGATGAGAATTTCCCATTCATAATACTCATAGTTTCAGTACAGGTGCATTTGCCAAGAAATGTGAAAATTATATTCTACATCTGTGGCTGTTGGCAGAGCCTTAAACTGAATGAAAGGGATATAGTTCATAAAGTGGACAAATTCTTACTAACTTTTTTTTGTCCATGGAAACATAGTGACACATCTTTCCGTATCAGAATAATTGGACTTTATGCTGGATAAAGGCCTGAGGCAAAGGCAGTTGTTTTTTTCTTACCATCATATGCAAAATTGCAATCTCTTCTTTCCCCTTCCTTTCATATGACAACGCATCGCACACTGAATGTTGTAGTTTTCTGAGTGCCGGAAAAAGTCGGTGTTCTCCTGCCTAATAGGTATCATTCAGGGTTATTGAAGTCCCTTTTATGGTCTGACCCGTTCCAGGACTTAGCACTCCTATCACAGTACATGTGGAGGTTACTCTGCAGCCAAGAAGGCCTCTGACAGAGAAGATGAAGTAATAGAACAGGCGTAAACCTGATGGGACTCCACAGATGTTATTGGTTGTTATGTCTGGAATGGAGCTGTAACCTCTTCAGGTTTGCATACCTTCAGTCCCACAGTCAAAATTCTACAATGAGCTTGAAAACCCCAAAGCAAAGGGAACTGAACACACATGAGAAGCAGGTTAGATACGCAAGCTACTCTGGTTTTCTGAGGTTGTTTATTTGTTAAGAAAGATGCATCATGTCGTGGTTTAGGCCCACCCGGGAACACGAGAGCACAAGGTTGCTCTCTCACTCCCCTTGCTGATGGGATGTGGAGGAGAAAATGTAAGGAATGAGTTACAAGGACTCACTTTGTGGGCTGAGGCAAGGGCGGGGAGGGATCACTCATCCATTACGGTCACAGGCAAAACAGACTCAATTTGGGGAAGAAAAATCAGTTACTATAGAGAAAATAAGTTACTAATCAACATCAGAGAAAGACGGTGAGAGACAAAACAAAATGGATCTTGAAAACTTTTCCTCATGCCCCCTCTTCTTCCCAGGCTACCTCCTCCCCTCTCTGTGCTGCAGAGGTGGGTGAGATGGAGGTTTCCCAGTCAGTTCATCCCACGTTGTCTCTGCCGCTGCTTCCTCCTCAGGGGCCAAAGACCCTCACACTCTGCCCCTGCTGCCACGTGCGATCCCTCCCACGGGAGAGCCCTGCAAGACCTTCCCTGGCATGAGTCCTTCCCACAGGATGCAGTTTTCTTCTCTAACTACTCGGCCGTGGGTCCCTCCCATGGGGCGCAGTCCCTCCGGAGCAGGCTGCTCCCGCCTGTGCTTTCCGCAGCGTCATGGGCTCCGCCTGCTCCGGTGTGGGGCCCTCCCCAGGCTGCAGGGTCTCTGCCCCCCCTAACCCTCCATGGGGGCAGGGGTCAGCCTGCCCTCTCCCCACGGGCTGCAGGGGAACCTCTGCTCTGGGCACCTCCGCACTGACCTTTCCTTGCTGAGCTGGGGGTCTGCCTTGTCATCTCTCTCACATCCCACCCCTCTCGCCATGCTGATTATCTCCACTCTGTTTCCACTGTTATTTCTTTTTGTGCCCTCCCCTCTTCAATAACGTGAACTCGCAGAGGCACTGACTGGCTCAGCTGTGGCCAGAGGCCGGTCCGACTTGGAGCCAGGGGAGCTTCTACTGAAGCCTCTCACAGGAGCCATCCCTGTGGCCCTTGCCCTGCCACCACAACCCCCCACCACAGAAACCCAGATCACATCAGTGACCACTCAGCACCTATATGGGTTAAGAAACATTTCCAAATAACTGTTATTGGAAGTGGAAGCCTGTAAGGACAGTAAGTAGTAACCAGGTGAGCTAATTCTTCATCTTCTGGTGTGGTGTTCCATTTTGGAACATTCATTAGGTAGCCTAATCTCATATTAGCACCTCTACACAGCATTCCTCTCTTACACATTTTTCTTTTTTTTATACGACTTGTTGCTATCCACAGTCCTATGTATTGTTTTGCTCATAGTAATCACTAGGAGACTTCTTTTTGAGTGTGTCCCTTGTGTCTTTTGACATCAAACACTCATCTGGGGTCTGTCTGAAAGTTTCCCATTCCCTGTAAATGCTCTTTAGTGTGAAGTTAACTAACTAAACAACAGTCCATAAATTAACTTTCACCTTTGTTAATCCATGAAATCTGAAAGAGATATATCTATTTGTATAGAAAATCAACTTTAGAAAACTTAGATAAAACACAAAATTGTAAAAGCTTTGTCCTAGCACTTCAATGTATGAGCCAAGCACCTTCTGTCAGGTAATTCAGCATAGCATCTTTGCCAAACCTAGAATGTGCCATACTCCCATATTGTTAATAAATTATTGTTATTTCATTTTTTTTCCCTGTAGGATGTATTTCCATCCTTGCTTCAGCTTTATTCATAGGCATGTTCCTACATATTTGCAGATTAAATCTGACTAAATTAAGAAGCAATAAAACTAGTAGTAGCTACTCTATGTAATAACTTCTCCCTGTATCAGCGCACGAGTTAAATGTAACTAAGATTGTATTGTTTCTGGAATCTGCATTAATGAGTTTCCTGCTTTTGCCTCTCTCATTTTCCTCTTCTTAGCCTGTCCTCTTGGTTTCTTTAAAGTATCTGTGGGAGATGACCCCTGCCACCTATGCCCTGCCCACAGCCACGCTCCACAGCCAGGTTCCCGTGAATGTGTGTGTCAGAACCGCTACTATAGATCTGCTTTGGACAATTCTGATGCTCCCTGCACTGGTAAGTATTTAGGTGGAGTGTTTGAAAGCCAGAAGGGCAGTTAATGAGTGAGAATTTGCCTAAATGATTCAGGGGAGTTGCAGTTCACCTCTTTTTCATAACCTCTAAAATAACCCAGATCTTCCCTCTGCTCTTCCAGTTGACTACAGGGTGTATCCACTCTCTGAACGTAGATGAGAAGGCAGCAGTGTTCCCACATGCTTCTGACAATGTTGATACGTTGGTGAAACTGTGTTTTGACAATACTGGGATATTGCAATACTAGATGCTCAGATATGGAAAAATGTCAAATTTTTGATGACTCAGGCAACCTTAAATAAGTCCATTTCAAGTATGCCTAAGGTGCAGCTTCTGCAGGAAAGCTCTCCCATTCTTTCATGGGATTTTAATCTTTTATTTTGTCTTCTAGGCATCCCCTCTGCTCCCCGTGACCTTAGCTATGAAATTGTTGGCTCCAGCGTGCTCCTGACCTGGCGCCTCCCCAAGGACCTGGGTGGCCGCAAGGATGTTTTCTTCAATGTCATCTGCAAAGTGTGCCCAGCCGGGTCCTCAGGGCCGTGCGTGCGCTGTGGGGACAGCTTACAGTTCGAACCGCGCCAAGTGGGCCTGACAGAAAGTCGCGTGCAAGTCTCCAATCTCTTGGCCCGGGTGCGGTACACCTTTGAGATCCAGGCTGTCAACTTGGTGACTGAATTGAGTTCAGAAGCACCCCACTTTGCCACCATCAATGTTAGCACCAGCCAGTCAGGTAAGGACACCAAAATTTTCACTTCTGTCTCTCATTTCATTGGCTTTTATCTTTTGAATCCTGGAGCCTTGTCTTCTTACTTGTGTGCTGTGCCTTTTTTTATCTTGCCCTTCTAGTTCCATGATTTCACTTCTGCCCTTCTTATTCGTGCTTCCTCTGCACGGGCTTTCCTGTCTTCCCTCTTGGCACAAAAGTTGAGTTTAGCAGCTGATGTGGAGGTGTATGGAGAAGAGTTGTTGGGGCAGAGGCTGCCCCGGAGAGGATAGCAGCGGGAGGTGTAGTTCTGTGGGCCAGACAAAGCATGTCGCATCATTGTTCAAGACAGGGGCCACAATCAGGGTTTGACAGGGATTTAGTGAGCTTGCCACAACAGCTTTTAGGGAGCATTTCCTCCTATCTCCTACTCTTCTCCATTTTGTCTTCTTATACTTCAATCAGTCTTTGTAGCATTTTTCACCTGTTAATTTTTCTTTTTTTTTTTTTTGTCTGTGTTTTGAGATAGTCTGGTTTTCCACCCTTTCTTGTTCAAATACCCCACCTTTCATTCTCCTCATTTCCGTTCACACTCTAGTGCACTTTAAGTAAAGTGGTACCGAGTGTTTCATCGAATCTGTCCACCGTTGACTTGCTGCATATCAAAGGAAGGAAGTGATAAATAGAGAAACAGATAGGCACTGTCTAAAGATGAAGACACAGAGATAGTCTGGTTTTCCACCCTTTCTTGTTCAAATACCCCACCTTTCATTCTCCTCATTTCCGTTCACACTCTAGTGCACTTTAAGTAAAGTGGTACCGAGTGTTTCATCGAATCTGTCCACCGTTGACTTGCTGCATATCAAAGGAAGGAAGTGATAAATAGAGAAACAGATAGGCACTGTCTAAAGATGAAGACACAGTTAAAGACAGGTGCTGTATGACAAGAAAGAATGTATACAATGATATTCACATCATCTAAATATTCACGACCCTAGAATGGGATGTGTTAATACTGTGCAGTCCTGTGGGTCATAAAAGGACATGAAAACTACAGTTTTTACAATTCCTAGAGAGATATTAAATGGAATTTTGACAAAGGATCAGAAGCAGACTAACCATTGCAATTTTACTGAAATTGCTTTGGGTTCTTCCACATGCCATGTATTTTCTTCTGCGTTGTTCCTGCCTTTTCAACTCTGCTGTTCTGATAAGTGGTCTTGGAATATTATTCTTCTGTCAGTAGGAAACAAAGATTTTTTTTTTTTTTTTTTTTTTTTTGCTTTTCACATGGTAGAAATATTAAAATGTGTTGTAGAGTTGTATAAAAGGTGTTATGATCCTTGCAAGTAGGAACTAAACTGCAGGGATGACTAAACTAAAATACTAGTGGCTTGTGTGGGCAGTCAAAGGAAGGGGAGATTACAGAGTTGAAGACTAGGTCAGACTGATGGATAGCATGCAGAAGGCTTGTATATATGAAAGAAAACGGAGAACAGTACCAAGCAAATGTGTATTTTCTGTAAATATCATATACAGGGACTGGAGCTAGAGGCAGCCACATGCATACAGTTCTGCTAAATGTCAACAACAGGAGACTGGGCATATGTTGTTCTTTACAAGCACGTATAAGCTGGAATGGACGGGAATTGTACACAGCTTGTTTAAGAGGATATAATGAGGAGTAATGTGAGGAGAAGGACAAAGCGGGGGGACAATTTGAAACGAGTGACAGAAAATGTCTGTAAATATTTAGAGATGTGTAAATGTTGCACTCAAACAAATCCCTAATAAGATTCCACAGTGTAGCTGTGGAAACCCCTGCAAAACCAGGCTTCGGTAAAGCTCAAGTGAAAAGCTGTGAAACCAGATGTTGCACCTTGATCTTTGTTAAATCACATCTTTTCATTTCTGCTTCTGTGCTATGTAAAGGAAGGGAATATTTATACAGCCCAAGTAATTTCCTACAGATGCCAATGGTTTGGCATCTGTTTCTTCCCTTTGAAGTGCTACCTGACAGGCATTGAGTAGCAGAGCGTGCATAGGATACCTGGTCCCCTAAAAGGCTGGCTGCAAGTGGGTGATGAGTTTTTGTTTACAGTAAAAGATATGGCCAGGTAATATGAATGGTAGTTCCAGACAGATCCTTTGGCTTCTGCTGGAGACAGATGGGTATTCTATTAACGTCCTTAAGAATTCTCTTTCTTCATGCTTCTCATCTTAGCCGCCTTCATCTCTATCTGAGGTAATTTAACTGAGTAGCTGCTTCCTTCTCCTGCCTGAGAACACCAAATCTACTCATTTCTTTTGCTTCTGTTTGACTTTTCTGACCACTCCCATTCCTCCAGGTGTCTCCTGGGTGTCACTTTGGGTGTGTTGAGTGTCTCTAAGGTGCCTCTCTTGTGCACTGAAGCAGTTTCAGGGGAGGCCAACTTTAACCATTTAAGACAGCAATGTGTACTGAATGGCTTCTTTTTGTGTTTGTCTTTTTTTCTTTGCTTTTCCTCAGGATCATTAGGAGTGAGCTTGAAATGAGCTGCCCTTGATTCATAGTGACAGCTCATACTAACAAGGCCCTGCTTTCTCCATCACGTGATCTGTCTCATCCATACCCCCACCATTCAATCCCTTCAGCAACTTTTCACTTTAGCATGGCTTATTGTTGTTGTTTTGTTATAATAATAATAATAATAATAATTCTTATTACTATTATTATTATACAAGCCGAGATGGACATTTCAGGATCTTATGTTCTGAAAGAGACAAGGAGGGGACAGGAAGGCATGAAGGATATAAAAAAAGCAAATTGGAGAAAGATAAGCTTTCAGTAAAAAGACCACAGAAAAAAATCTCTCTGCATTGAATTAAAAGTGACCAAAGAAAGCCCCATCCAGCCCTGGCAGTTTCTGAATATTCTGCTTACTCATACGTCAATCAGAAGTTCTGTCCCTTCTTCCAGTTGCTGGTACAAAAAATCTTCCTCCCCACCCTCTGCCCCTCTCTCAGAGTATCTTAGGCAATATTCTGTGCAGGAACAGTTGTACTTTTCTTTTTCCCCTGCTACCTATTCACTCTTCATCTTTGTCTCCAAAACACTGTTCTTCTAAGACTTTGTTTACCCCTAACAATCTGCTAGCCTTGCATGATAGGATCCTTTGGTTACACAAGAATATTTTTCTGTGGTAGCCTAATTATGTGCCTATTCTTCAGTGACTATGTGTTGAAGACGGAATAAGAATGGCTGGCACTGAAATATTTCCTTTCATATAGTAAGACTTAATCTTCTATAGCAAAAAGCATCTGAAACTTGTTTGGATATTAATAATAGAACTTGTTTGGATAGTAATAGTATAACATAGAAATTACCAGAAGGAAAAACTGTCCAGAGCTGAGACAAAAGAGAAGGGAATTGCCCTCATCTCAGATTTGAAGTGCTGCGTGTGAATACCTCAAGAAATGTCAGGATGTATAGAAAGTTGTGGGAGGCTGTTCCAGATAGCATGAACTGCATGAGGAAAGGCTGTTATGTAATTGTAGTGGAGTTACGGGTTTTTCACAGAGGAGAACCTGACACAAAGAAATCCAACAACCTAACATCCAATCATATTATTAAAAAAAAAATAATCTGACTAAAACTTGAATTATTTTAACATCTTCACGTGTCAGGGTAAACAATTATCTCGTCTTAGATCTCAGGACAGAAGTAAGGTTTTTATTTAAAGGATTGCAAAAAGCTTTCTATGTGCACAGCTGTAAGTCCCTGTCTGTTTTCAGTTCCTACTCCTTCCACTGAAGTATGTGGTAATATCTGTTGCCAGAGACACGCTAACTGAACTTATTCATTCAGGCAGCCGTTGCATTCCTAGAAAGAAGAGGAAGAGATAAAGAAAGCAGAGACTCAGATGTTCAAGCAAATCTGTGCAGACTTTTCAAAGCAAGAAGATTTCTTAAAAATGAATCCAGATATTATGAGAGGTAATAGAGATATTGAGGATAAAGGTTATGCAACCAGGTTGACTTGTACCTGTGAAAAGATGTAGGTAGCAGCCTTCTATATCAGTTCGATTCAGAGAAGTGACACCTGTTAATCTACCAAAAAAGTGTAGAACTGCAGAAATGAAAGCTAGGCAGTCTGAAGGCTTGTGTAAGAGGCTGAATGTAGACAAGGGCAGTTATGGGTAGCACCAGGAAATTTAAGAGGATGTGACAGAAGATGTTCAGGTGAAATGGTGTAAGAAAAGGAAAATAATTAAATGCCAACTATGATTACGAGATTATGAAGGGAGATCAGTGATCTGCTTGAAAATGTTTGCTTTTTGAAAGACACACAAAAGATTCCCTTAGACTAGTTGGCAAGAGCAGGGACAAAGACAAGACGTTTTCTTAATCAGATCAAGAAAGGAATAACAAGAGACCTGTAAAAGGCTGCATAATACTGCATTTTGCCAGGCTAAAACCAGCAGGTAAGGCAAGTGAGGTGTGAGCTGTGTGTTCATTGTCCTCTAAATGAACCCTATTAATTTTCAAAGCGACAAGGTGTTTGTTTGTTTACGATCTAATTGCCAACCTTGAACACTCGGCAAAGGTCCCTAATAATGTAACTATATGGTTTTCTTCTTACGTAGGAACAACAAAAACACTCTTAAGGTTTAATTTTTCCCTTAGTGACATTTGTCAACTCTGACATATTCAGGGGATTTGCCCAGTTATGACTGGGATTCAATAAATCTTCTCTGGTCACTCCCCAGATAGAACCTATTCCAATTTCTCTCTTGACTATGCCTTATCTCTGCAGCACAAGCAGAGAATGAATGCGCTTGTTTTCACATTTCAGGTTTCAGCAACTGTTTAAAACAAGACAGAAACTTTTTGGGCAAGTAGAAATACAAGGTGCAAAGTAAAACATGGCACCTTGTGGCATAAAGGATTTTTTCCTGTTTATTAGGCGTGAGTGGAATCCATACAGGAAAAGTAGTAGTAATAGAGGTAAGGGAAGTGAAAATAACTAACAAATTTGCCTTTCTAAA